CAGGCTCCAGGCTCCGAGCCATCAGCCCAGAGCCTGACGCGGGGCTCGAACTCACAGACCGCGAGATCGTGACCTGGCTGAAGTCGGACGCTTAACCGACTGCGCCACCCAGGCGCCCCAAGATATTTCTATTCTCACCCATTTAATTACCCCAAAGGACTTTTACTTAGTAATTTAACTTGTTATTTGGAAATGGGGTTCTTATTCCAAAGAACTTTGATACTTAACTCATCATCTGATGATTTCTGTTTATGGTTCAGAGTCTCTTCAACACACACACACCCTGCATACTTTATACTGATGCTAACAGTCAATTCTGCCATTATATAAATTTATTATTTTCTGCTCAGCTCCAAAAAAAGAATAAAAGAAGGGCCATTTAAAACACATGTCTAAGATATTGCAACACTTTATTCTGAAGCTAGAGGAAGAAATGGAAGAGTAGTTCTGCCTTTTGAAAGTTATACTATACACTATTAACTCTGGTATAAGAACAAAAAGTCAGTCCTAGATTGTGATAAACTGTGCAGTAAAATAAAATGAATTAATGACATTTTCCATAGGAACTTAAGAGAAAAAGGCAAAGTTATTCTGAATTGGTGGAAGTAAAATTATACGAAATCAGACAGTATCTGTTTCATTTGCACCAAATATTAGTTTTGCAATGGTGCCAAACAATATTTGCATCTGAAGATTATGTGGTCATAAATAAGACATGAAAGTGGACTAGTGGACAGCTGGATACAGAAATTCTTATGACTTGTTCCGCAGCCCCCTTTCTGCCCATTTTACTATAATAGGATCTGCAAAAATAATACGAAAGGCTGTAAGATAATTTAGTGTCTTCTCTTAGCCTTCTTTCCTCCATTCCTTTTACACTTTACACAAGCACTAGGTACCTCCAAGTGAACTAATCTTACTGTAAAGTATTATTTCTGGTCTTTATTCTTAGTTATCAACTGTCCTCAGTTTTAATTACATGCCTTCAGATGAGCTCTGATGGAAATTACTATTCTTGATTTTTATCTTCTCTTCAGACTTTACTTTCTATCATTTATTTTTTAAGCTATTTTCTTTCTCTCTTTCTGTCTCTGCCCCATGCCTTATCTCCCTTTTCTATCTTTGTCTATGAGAGGGGTATTATATAAAAATACAATTCTAGAAACTGAGTTTTCACTCTCAAAATTTCACTCAAGAATCCTTACTCTTTGGAAAAATAAACCTCAATTATCAATAATATACTTTTAAATACCTGGGTAAATACACTAATTTTTTTGTAAATGGAAACTTTTATTCTACACTTGAAAATTATAAACCTGAAAATGAACCTAGAGTAAGAATACACAAGACTTGATAAGTGATATAACCCAGCCAACATAAACTATAGGATAAGAAGATATTTGAATATCTAGGAAGCTGGACATATTGCTAGGTGACTCTGGAGCAGAATCTGGTTCCTATGGTTCAAGGACAGAATACTGACAATGTGCGATCAGTCTACAGAGTTAGCTTTAAGCAATGGAGAGATGAAAACCTAAGTGTTTTGCTTCAGTGAAACCACCTCTAATGAGATCACAGGCAAGTTTCTGTAAAGTAGTAAAGCATTTTGAATTTCGTGTATCTTTCAGATCTGAAGTGATTTTCATGGCTAGGCTTTATCAACCCCTTCTTCCTTTTAAGCAATCTTTAAGAATTGTGATGTACTTATAGAGGAATATATGATAGGCCTCGAAGCCAAAGCAACCCAGTTTTAAGAGCAAGAGTTGTGACAGAAGGCACAGGCATAAGTGCCAGCCTAAGCAATGCACCGAATAACTTCATTAAGTTTAACCAAGTCCTCCAAGTAGATCTGGGATGAACCCATAATGCTTTTCCAGTATCTGCCACTCTCAAATTACCCATAAATTCTCTAAGTTGCCCATGGCTTGTCTTTCACCTTGAGTTTTTAACCTATGAAGACAAATGAAATCATTTTTAAAGGTGGGAAAAAACTTGTGAGTTTGTAACCACAAATGAAGCAAATTTATGATGTAAAGGAGGGTTGCAGTTAAGATAGACACAGTGGAATATTATATTTTTGAAAACGATTGAAATGAATATTATGAAATGAAATAAATAAATGAAAGAACTGTATAGTAAAAAAAATGGGAGAATGAAATAATATGCTAATCATCAAGGAGGTCGGACAAAGGAGACAAAGCAAAATGAAATAATGTTCAATAGAGGAATGAAAGGAAATCAGAAAGAATTAAAAATAGATTCAGATGGAAGTGGGGTAGGACAACTACAAAGAATAACAAACGGGAATTGGTAGGAATGTTAAACTCTTCAGCTTGGCTTTCTGTGAAAAGGCCAATAAAAAGAAAATTAAAACATACAAGACACTTGTGAATATTTAGGGGTACCTGGCTGGTTTAGTCACTAGAGCATATGACTTTTGATCTCAGGGTCATGAATTTGAGCCCCAGGTTGGGCATAGAGTTCACTTAATAAATAAATAAATAATTACAGATTTGTATGAACTCAAGTCTCAAGAATGAAAAACTATGGAAACCCATAATTGATCTTGGAGTCCAGAGTTAAACCCAGTATCAAGACACAAACAAGCAAAATGATGCTACCTCCACATTCTCAAGGTAATAGACGGTAATTTGAAACCTTGTGTTAATATAGCCTGGCAGTGGTTCCTATATAAGGAGCTAAGAGAAAGTTGACTGATTACCAGCAATTTTAATTTTTCCTAAACAATTCATATTAAATAAACCACATGGAATTTTCCTAAAACTTAGGATTTACTTCAAATGACAATTCAAATTGGGGAGAGCAGAAATATTTGGTATCTCCCCAGGCAAGGGAAACAAAAGCAAAAAGAAATAATTGGGAATATCTCAAAATAAAAAGGTTTGCATAGGGAAAGAAACCATCAATAAAACAAAAAGGCAACCTACTGAATGGGAGAAAATATTTGCAAATGGTATGTCCAATAAGGGGTTAATATCTAAACTATATGAGGAACTCATAAAACTCAACAACAAAATAACCCAATTAAAAATGGGGAGAAGGCTTGAATAGACACTTTTCCAAAGAAGACATACAGATGGTCAAAAGACACATGAAAAGATGCTCACTGTCACTAATCATCAGAGAAACACAAATCAATACCACAATATCACTTTACACCGTCAGAATGGCTAGAATCAAAAACACAAAAAATAGTAAGTGTTGATGAGGATGTGGAGAAAAAAGAAGCTTCATGTACTGCTGGTGGTAATGTAAATTGGGCAATCACTGTGGAAAACAGTATAAAGTTTCCTCAAAAAATTAAAACATAGAAATACCACAATATCCAATAATTCCACTACTGGGTATCTACCCAAAGAAAACAAAAAACTAATTCAAAAAGGTATAGGCATCCCTATGTTAACTGCAACATCATTTATAATAGCCAAGATATGGAAGCAACCCAAGTATCCACTGATAGATGGATGAGTAAAGAATATGCGATATATATACACAATGGAATATTACTCAGCATAGAAAAGAATGACATCTTGCCATTTGCAACAGTGTGGATGGATCTAGAGAGTACTATGCTAAGTGAAATAAATCAGGCAGAGAAAGGCAGATAGCATATAATTTATATGTGGAATCTAAGAAATAAAATAACTAACAAATTCATAAATACAAAGGACAAACTGGTGGATGCTAGAGGGGATAGGTGAACTAGGTCAAGGGGATTGAGAGATATAAACTTCAATTATAAAATAAGTCATGGGGATGAAAAATATAGCACAGGAATTATAGTCAATAATATTGTTATAAGGTGACGAACACACACCACTGATTGTGGTGAACATCTCTTAATGTACAGAACTGCTGCATTACTGTGTTGTACATCTGAGACTACTGTAATACTGTATGCCAACTATGCTTCAATTTTGTTTTATTTTATTTTATTTCATTTTATTTTTTTTTTTTATTTTTTCTTTACTTTTGAGACAAAGAGCATGTGAGTGAGCTGGGGAGGGAAAGAGACAGAGAGGGACAGAAGATCTGAAGTTGGCTCTGTGCAGACAGCAGAGAGCCTGATGAGGGGGTTCGAACTCACAAACTTTGATATCATGACCTGAGCCAAGGGCAGATGCTTACTCGACTGAGCCCCTCCCAAGCACCCCCATGCTTCAATTTTATTTTATTTTTTAATGCTTGTATTTATTTTTGAGACAGAGCATTGAGTGGGAGAGGGGCAGAGAGAGAGGGAGACACAGAATCTGAAGCAGGCTCCAGGCTCTGAGCTGTCAGCACAGAGCCTGACACAGGGCTCAAACTCTCAACCTCGAGATCATGACCTGAGTCGAAGTCAGACAGTCATCCGACTGAGCCACCCAGTCGTCCCCCCAATCCCAATGCTTCAATTTTTAAAAAAGAGTATTTGGGTATCATCAGGCATTTTGCAATACCTAATTATTATTTTTAAAGCTTCTTGTGACACTGAACAAATTCCAAGAAAATAAATTATGGCATGGTTTCTATATGACGGGGTCTGTAAGGTGACAGTGAAGTCTATTTCATTTTGATCATTTATTGCCTGACTACATGCAGTTGTGATGAATTCAGTGCAAAAGAAAGTGAACAAAGTTCAACATACCATAGGCTAGAATGTGATTAATAAGTCTGGAAAAAAGAATAGTGAACTATGGTAAAAGAAATGATAATAGAAAAAACAAAACAAATGGAATTAAACCCCACATTACCTCCTGTTTTCATCACAGTCTAAAATAAGCATTAACTCATTTAAGTTAATGGAACACATACCCTAACTCTAGGTTTTAGACACAAGAAAAAGATGTGACTTTTTGAATTATTCTTATCCAACTTTTGGGAATTGAGTTAGCTTTGAGGGAAAAGGAGTCAGGAAGAAAGAAGAAAACATTTAAGATGGCATTTAGAGATACTTGCAGTACTCAAGGAAGCTTCAGCAATCTATATGGGAACACTAAGTTAAAAGATACTGCAGATTCTATTATAAATATCTATCTAAATGTCAACATCACTGCAAAGGAAAGGAAGACTAACAGTCAATTCAAATTATAATGAAAGGATTAGAGAATAAATACTAGATGAAGTTTTCCAAATGACCTAAATGGTAGTTCATTTTATATTCATGGTTTAGTAGAATACTTTTTTTCCTACATAGTATAGGAAGTAGATTACAATGATAGAAAATAAGAATACAGAGATTTCATTCCATGATTAAGATATGTGAATGACAATAAAAGAGGAAAATATGGACATGTAATGTCATAATTGTGATAATTTAAAAAAAAATTTTAAAGAACAGCTCCTAATCCGCCCCCCCCCCCGCCATTTTTAACTTATTTAATTAAATTCAAGTCAGTTTACACACAGTGTAGTATTGGTTTCAGGAAAAGAACCCAGGGATTCATCACCTACATATAACATCCAGTGCTCCTCCCAACAAGTGCCCTCCCCAAAGCCCATCACTCATTTAGTCCTTCCCTTCACCCATCTCCCCTCCAGCAACCTTCAGTTTATTCTCGGTATTTAAGAGTCTCTTACGGTTTGCCTCCCTCTCCGTTTTTATCTCATAGTCAAGGAACTAGTCTCAGTTTCTAAGGATGATACAGATATTAGGGCCTAATAAAAATCAAGAAATGGTAACAAATGGCATCTAGGATGACAAGGATAGTGAGGAATATGTGGCTTTCTAAAGAAATTAAGAGCTAAATGAGCAAAATTAGATGTTTAGTATCAACAGTAAGTTAGATTCTCCTATGCTTAAGTCAGTGGACATGATCCGTTTACTATCTATTGTAAAGTGACTTGATGTGACCATAGAAATGACAGCTATGCCTCTGACAGATGTGTTAGAATCAGGTTATGACAGGGTTACCACAAGGAATATGAAGAAGGCAACTCTTTGGAGTTTGCTCTAAAAATGTTTAAGAAAATACTGACCAGTATGAACTATTTCAGGTATAGAAGCATCATGCCCCCTTTTATTTCTTGTCATCAAGTTTTTCTTAGAATTAATGATAAATGTGCCTATGTCTAGCCTTTTAACCTCTCTATAATTCTGATGTTCAGGGTCCTGTATTTTTTGAGAGTTAAGGCCAGGCTGTCCAATAATAAATAATTCAATAACCAAGTATAACACCTAGGCAACTAGAGCCTGAACTGAGGGAGCAGTTTTTGTTGTACTTTATACATTCTTGTTGTATATATATGGAATTTGCTCTATTTTATATAAAAGAGCTGTATCTCTACAGTGGGGAGGTTTACTGAAAAATGAGGATAGATGATATTCTATTTAATTTTGTAAAGATTTTGAGACAACCATATTGTGTTTGTATTCTACAGGCATTCAAGCAGCCAAATAATTAACATAAAATATCCTCAAAGCATGCAGAGGGACCTTAGAATTTATTTGGTCCAGTCTCCCATCCAATGTAGCATTGTCCTCAGTTAAAAATACTGTATTGTTGAATATCCTTTCCCCAACCATATGAGGTGTTCCTTCCTTCATCTCTGCCCTCCACGACTTTATACATAAGAGGAAGAGGTTGAGACAAGATCTCAGTATTTCTTCTAACTCACTGATTTTCCTAAGTATTTTGCTTATTGGAAACTACTGGGCCTAAACATTACATGTGCCCTTAGGATTATGGTTGTTCAGTGCAGAAGTTAAAGAAATAGGTATTCTTAAACCATAAAAATAAAAATTCATAAACTTTTTAGTGTTGAGAAATTTTTTGCAAAAGCATCTATTATTATGCAATACTTAAGCATGTACAGTTATGCAGAAAAGAGATTTCTTCATACATTATTCTGAATGACTCCTTGCCAACAGGTGATAATGTCTTGAGGCTTCCTGATGTATGCTGTGATCACCAGAATAGTGCATTGCTATTAGAATTCTGATCTCTGTGTTTTTCTCTTATAGTTGTTATTCAGTTAGGTCTCAATTGCAAAACACTTCTCAGATGTTACTCTAGTGTATACTCTAGGTGCCATTAGGAGCATATACATGTATTTACAAATAAGGCTTGCATCACTGTGATGCAGATGCAACATAAGCTTCACTCAGCTGTAGTAAGTAATGAAGGGAGGCTATATTAATTTAATCCTAATGAAAATAGGAACTTATCACAAAGAATTTGTAAACTTAATTTGGGAGACAAGGGAGGACGTTAAAAAGAGGTAGGTAAGGTACTCTGAGGCTTGGTATAACTTGTATGTCTCAGCAAGTGTCACCTATGTGGGATACGAACTAGAATCAGCAGTTATGAATGAAAGGACTGGTAAATAGCTCAGTTAATTTGCTGAAGATAAATATATCTGTTGGCAGTGTTCTAAGGCTTAATCATTTTTATTACTATTTCTATTTTGTCGATGGTGGCTCAATACCAACTTGACACAAAATTAGTTCTGTCTTCCAGATGTCATTTTACTAGGTATGAAGAACAGACCACGCTATTCTTTCTTTGTGGCATGTAGTATATGTAACCATAATCTTCAAAATCACTGTATCATAAATTCCTATCTACTTTGTTATTCGTTTTTACCCTCAGGTCTTTTTGACCATTTGATGACTTTCAGATTTCACCTATTCTAGATACCCATTCTGTTTTATTGTTTTTTCCTAAAGTACTTTCTACTATGGAGGGACAGAATCTCATTTTGTTGTCTCTACTCCATATTTCTAAGTTCTCTGGATACCTTTATATTGCTTTGCTGCCCTTACTGGTATTTGCAATTTAATATCATCTGTGAATTTCATTAACATGCTTTTTACTCCTTGTTCTACATCATTAACGTAGCAGCTATATAAGATAGGACATAACACTGATCCTTGCAGCACCTAGACATATCCCCCAACTTGATACATTTCTGTTTATGGTTTATCAATATTTTTTATGGTTCTCTAGCCAGTTTTGAATATATGTGATTCTGCTGTATATCCAGGACAATCTGAATTAACTGTGCACAGACATCATGATACACTATACCACAGCTTCACTAATATGAAAACTACTACAACCACTATATTTTTTCATTTACTAATACTTCTAAAAAACTCATTTTCAGATTAGCTTAACATTTGTAATTCTAGTGATCTATATGTACCTACTTCTCTTTTTAGATTTGTACCATTATTTTCGCGTAATGAATACAGATGATAATTATTTTTTGAACACTCCTTTTTTAACATTTAGTTTTGTAATAATTTTAGATTTAGAGAACAGTTACAAAGATAGCAGAGTCAGTTCCCTTTATTCCTTCCCACAGCTTTCCCTATTATCTTTAAAAACCATGGTATATTTGTAAAACTAAGAAATATATAATGATATGAAGTAAACTACAGACTACAAACACATTACATAATCATTTTTCTCCTAGTGATCATTTTCTATGCAAGGATCTAGGATACCACGTTGCACTTGGTAGTCATGTCTCCTTAGTCTCAGATGACCTTTGACAGTTTCTCAAATTTCCCTTGTTTTTTTTTACTCCACTGACACTTTTGAAGTGTGGTCAGATATTTAGTAGAATGTTCCTCAATTTGGGTTTGCTGGATGTTTTCTTGTGAAAAGACAGAGGTTACATTTTCTTAGGAAGATTCCTACATAGGCACAACACTCTTCGCACTGTACCATACTGGGGATATATGGTATTAGCAGGAATTATCACTGGTGATGTAAACTTTGATCACTTGTTTAAGGTGGTGTCTGCCACATTTCTCCATCGTAAGTTAGAGATTTGCTTTTTCCATATTCTGTTCTATGCATTCTCAGTGGGGTTATTATAACACCCTCAAGCAAATAAAAATTCATTCCTGGAGGTAAAAAAATAACTAACTCTTCTTATGCATAAAACATGGATATATAAATAGTACATAAACAAATGTGTAGTATATTTATGTTATCAAAATTTCATCTGGGGTGGGGGAGCATTATGAAAAAATGTATAAAAAGATTCCTGTGTCTATGTGGAATGGGAGATGATTTTTAAAAGGGGGAATACTGGCAGATATTGCTGTATTCATTGGAAGCAAGTCACTAAGCCCATCCCACACTGGAAGGGAGGAGAATTAAGCTCTACCTCCAAAAGGAGAGAATATCTACATATACTATTTGGAATTTTTCTCTAAGAACATTTTTTTTTTCCTTTAAGTCATCATTTTGGTTCATTTTCAGTCAGTAGTTTGGGTCTGTTTCTGTTCTTGTTTGCATGTTCCAACAAGCAGATGCCAATCAGACAAGCAAAAGATTTGGGGACTTACTTGTAATAGGTGATGAGAAGGTAGCAAGGATGGTAAGAGAGACTTCAGACTGTGATGTAGGTCTAGTACCTGTAATGGAAAAAGGGAAGGAAGGAAGCCTGGGTAGGAGGAGTGTCGGACTGCAGCACAGTTCTAACAAAGTTTTGGCCCAGCCAATGGGAAATCTTTGAACCAAAGTATCCCAGTAAAGGATTCCTGCATGACACTGGAAAGGGTCTGCCTTACAACTCCTATCATATGCAGCCATTGCCTAGAAAGATCACTTTGGAATCACTGCCTTGGTATGAACTTGGGAGTGGGTCTAAAGGGCAGCAGCTGTGGCTATCAGTAAATCATGTTCCCTGCAGAAGTAAATCTAAGCAGTACATCTTCATGCCCATCACAATCCATAGTTGAATTAAAAGTCCAGAAATTATTTTTGAAAGAATATTACCTAATTCTTTCCCCATTCTAGGAAGTATATTTTACTTCTTGCTTTTCTAAAAATAGCTGCATAAATACTGCTATTGTTAGCAATTTCTTAGAAATTGCTTAGAAATACTTATAAGCAATTTCTTAGAAACCATACTTTTATTTTTCTATTTAAAAATACTTTAGGGGCGCCTGGGTGGCGCAGTCGGTTAAGCGTCCGACTTCAGCCAGGTCACGATCTCGCGGTCCGTGAGTTCGAGCCCCGCGTCAGGCTCTGGGCTGAAGGCTCGGAGCCTGGAGCCTGTTTCCGATTCTGTGTCTCCCTCTCTGTCTGCCCCTCCCCCGTTCATGCTCTGTCTCTCTCTGTCCCAAAAATAAATAAAAAACGTTGAAAAAAAATTAAAAAAAAAAACTTTAAAAATGCGCAAATGACTTATGGCATTCATAAACAGTGAAATATCTTAAACTAGATAACCTCCTAACAGTAACAATTACAAACTCTAAGATATAAGAAAACAACTATTTGAAGACTATTTGAAACAATAAATAGCAGGTAGAAACTCAAGGGGATATGGCCTTTGAAATAAGGGAAGCCAATAGGTGACATCCATGTTTTTCTAACTTTTTCAGTAAGGTTATTTCCCAGTCTGTGTGGTAAACAGGGAATAGAGCTTATCAGAAAGAGTAGTCTTGGTGGGGCTGAAGAGTGAGAAGTTAGAGCTTGAGGCTGCTGGAAGACCTGAAAGTTCAAAGAGGAAGTCTCCAAAAAGGGGAAACCACTGAGGGCTGGGTGAGGCTGGGAGGGTATCTCCAAAATCTGCATAATGCATCCCCACAAATCCTTGGCTGATTCCTGAACTTTGCTTATTGAGGGTGAGAGCCAAGAAATCAAGAGGGAAGCATAGCTACAAGTCTGAAACAGCTAAGCAGACGGATCTATTGGAATATTCAGAACATTCAACCCTGAAAGAGTAGAATACACATTCTTCACAAGTGCACATGGAACATTCCTTAGAATAGATATGTTAGGCCACAAATCTCAACAAATTCAAAAAGACTGAAGTCATAGCATGCATCTTTTCTGACTACAACACTACAGAACTAGAAATCAACCACAAGGAAAAATTTGGAAAAAAACATGAATACATAGAGGTTAAATAACATGCTACTAAACAATGAATGGGTCAACCAAGAAATAAGAGAGGAAGTAAAAAAATACATGAAGACAAATGAAAATGAAAACACAACAGACCAAAAATTGGGGCATGAAGCAAAAGCTATTCTAAGAGGGAAGTTCATGGCAATATAGGCCTAGCTCAAGAAGAAAGAAAAATCTCAACCTAACCGTATACCTGAAGGATCAAGAAAAAGAACAACAAAAAAAAAAAAAACCCAGACCAGTAAAAGCAAGGAAATAATAAAGATTAGAGCAGAAATAAATATGGAATTTAATAAAACTGTAGAGGAGATCAATGAAACCAAGAGTTGGTTTTTTAAAAAAATAAACAAAATTGATAAACCTCTAGCCAGGCTTCTCAAAAAGAAAAGGGAGATGACCCAAATAGATAAAATCATGAATGAAAATGGAATTATAACAACCAATCCCTCAGAAATATAAGCAATTATCAGAAAATACTATGAAAAATTATATGCCAACAAATTGGACAAACTGGAAGAAATGGACAAATTCCTAAGCACCCACACACTTCCAAAACTCAAACAGGAAGAAATAGAAAATCTGAACAGACCCATAACCAGTGAAGAAATTGATCAGTCATCAAATATCTCCTGACAAATAACAGTCCTGGACCAGATGGCTTCTCTGGGGAATTCTACCAGACATTTAAAGCAGAGTTAATACCTATCCTTCTCAAGCTATTCCAAAAAATAGAAAGGGAAGGAAAACTTCCAGACTCATTCTATGAAGCCAGCATTACTTTGATTCCCAAACCAGACAGAGACCCAGCAAAAAAAGAGAGCTACAGGCCAATATCCCTGATGAATATGGATGCAAAAATTCTCGACAAGATACTAGCAAATCGAATTCAACAGCATATAAAAAGAATTATTCACCATGATCAAGTGGGATTCATTCCTGGGCTGAAGGGCTGGTTCAACATTCGCAAATCAATGCGACACATCACATTAATAAAAGAAAAGATAAGAACCATATGATCCTGTCAATCGATGCAGAAAAAGCATTTGACAAAATTCGCCATCCTTTCTTAATAAAAACCCTCGAGAAAGTCGGGATAGAAGGAACATACTTAAACATCATAAAAGCCATTTATGAAAAGCCCACAGCTAATATCATCAATGGGGAAAAACTGAGAGCTTTCCCCCGGAGATCAGGAACACGACAGGGATGTCCACTCTCAGCCCTGTTGCTTAACATAGCATTGGAAGTTCTAGCATCAGCAATCAGACAACAAAAGGAAATCAAAGACATCAAAATTGGTAAAGATGAAGTCAAGCTTTCACTTTTTGCAGATGACATATTATACATGGAAAACCGATAGACTCCACCGTAAGTCTGCTAGAACGGATACACAAATTCAGCAAAGTTGCAGGATACACAATCAATGTACAGAAATCAGCTGCATTCTTATACACTAACAATGAAGCAACAGAAAGACAAATAAAGAAACTGATCCCATTCACAATTGCACCAAGAAGCATAAAATACCTAGGAATAAACCTAACCAAAGATGTAAAAGATCCGTACGTAGGCTGAAAACTATAGAAAGCTTAGGAAGGAAATTGAAGATACAAAGAAATGGAAAAACATTCCATGCTCATGGATTGGAAGAATAAATATTGTTAAAATGTCAATATTACCCAAAGCAATCTACACATTCAATGCAATCCCAATCAAAATTGCACCAGCATTCTTCTTGAACCTAGAACAAGTAATCCTAAAATTTGTACGGAACCACAAAAGACCCTGGAAGACCAAAGCAGGAGGCATCACAGACTTTACCTCTACTACAAAGCTGTAATCATCAAGACAGCATGGTATTGGCACAAAAACAGACACATAGACCAGTGGAATAGAATAGAAACCCCAGACCTAGACCCACAAAAGTATGGCCAACTAATCTTTGACAAAGCAGGAAAGAATATCCAGTGGAAAAAAGACAGTCTCTTTAACAAATGGTGCTGGGAGAACTGGACAGCAACATGCAGAAGAATGAAACTAGACCACTTTCTTACACCATTCACAAAAACAAACTCAAAATGGATAAAGGACCTGAATGTCAGACAGGAAACCATCAAAACCCTAGAGGAGAAAGCAGGAAAAGACCTTTCTGACCTCAGCCGCAGCAATTTCTTACTTGACACATCCCCCAAGAAGATGTAATATTCAGGTATTTCAAAGCTTGATGATGGCTTGGGTATAGAGAGATGGAAACAGTCAGGATCAAAATGTGTATGACCTAGTCACTGTATGAAAAAAAAAAACAGTCTAATTGGGAAAACAAGCCTTTAAACTTATGTACAAGGCTCAATAATAGGAGTTAAATAGCAAAAAGTATGAAACAGCATAGTAGAGGGAAGAAAAGAGATCAAGCCCAGAGTTAGTAAGATTTACTGGAAGAGTTAAGATTTAAGATTGGTCTAACGTCTCCAAAGGCAAGGGAATTAAAAGCAAAAATGAATTATTGGGACCTCGTCAGGATAAAAAGCTTCTGCACTGCAAAGGAAACAATTAACAAAACTAAAGGCAATCGACAGGATGGGAATAGGTATTTGCAAACAACATATCAGATAAAGGGCTAGTATCCAAAATTTGTAAAGAATTCACCAAACTACACACCTGAAAAACAAATAATCCAGTGAAGAAATGGGCAGAAGGCATGAATAGACACTTTTCCAAAGAAGACATCCAGATGGCCAACAGACACATGAAAAGATGCTCAACATCACTCCTCATCAGGGAAATACAAATCAAAACCACACTGAGATATCACCTTACACCAGTCAGAGTGGCCAAAATGAACAAATCAGGAGACTATAGACTCTGGAGAGGATGTGGAGAAACGGGAACCCTCTAGCACTGTTGGTGAGAATGCAAACTGGTGCAGGTGCTCTGGAAAACAGTGAGGAGGTTCCTCAAAAAAATTAAAAATAGATCTACCCTATGATGCAGAAATAGCACTTCTAGGAATTTACCCAAGGGATGCAGAAATGCTGATGCATAGGGGCACTTGTACCCCAATGTTTATAGCAGCACTTTCAACAGTAGCCAAATTATGGAAAGAGCCTAAATGCCCATCAACTGATGAATGGATAAAGAAATTGTGGTTTATATACACAATGGAGTAGTACGTGGCAATGAGAAAGAATGAAATATGGCCCTTTGTAGCAACATGGATGGAACTGGAGAGTGTTATGCTAAGTGAAATAAGCCATACAGAGAAAGACAGATACCATATGGTTTCACTCTTATGTGGATCCTGAGAAACTTAACAGAAACCCATGGGTAGGGGAAGGAAAAAAAACAAAAAAAAAAAAAAAGGAGGTTAGAGTGGGAGAGAGCCAAAGCATAACAGACTCTTAAAAACTGAGAACAAACTGAGGGTTGATGGAGGGTGGGAGGGAGGGGAGGGTGGGTGATGGGTATTGAGGAGGGCACCTTTTGGGATGAGCACTGGGTGTGGTATGGAAACCAATTTGACAATAAATTTCATATTAAAAAAAACCCTATGAATAAATTTAACCTGTATTCTGAACGCTGTAAAACACTGATGAAAGAAATCGAAGATGACACAAACGGAAAGATATTCCATGCACATATAATGGAAGAACAAATATTGTTAAAATGTCCCTATTACCTAAAGCAAACTACAGATTTAATGCAACCTTTATCAAAATACCAATAGCATTTTTCACAGAACTAGAACAAGTAATTCTAAAATTTGTATGGAACCACCAAAGACACCAAATAGCCAAAGCAATCTTGAAAAAGAAGAAAAAAACTACAAGTATTGCAATCCTCAATTTCAAGACATTCTACAAAGCTGTAATAACCAAAGGAATATGGTAATAGCACAAAAACAGACACAAAGATTGACAGAACAGAATAGAGAGTCCAGAAATAATCCCACAATTACAATGTCAGTTAATCTTTGAGAAAGGAGGCAAGAATATGCAATGGGAAAAATAAAGTCTCTTCAACAAACTTGTGCTGGGAAAACTGGACAGCTACAGGCAAAAGAATGAAACTGGCCACCTTTCTTCACCATACAACAAAAATAAATTCAACATGGATTAAAAGGCCTCAGTGTGAGATAAGAAACCATTAAAATCCTAGAAAAGAACACACGCAGTCACTTCTCTGACATATACTAGAGCAATTATTTTCTACATATGTCTCCTGAGGCAAGGGAAACAAATGCAAAAATAAACTATTGGAACTTTATCAAAATAAAAAGCGTCTGCACAACAAAGGAGCAACAAAAGAAAACCTATTTAATGAGATAAGGTATTTGCAAATTATGTATCTGATAAAGGGTTAGAATCCAAAAAATATAAAGAATTATAAAACTGAACAGCCAAAAAACAAATAACTCAGTTAAAAAATGGGCAGAAGACATTAACAGACATTTCTCCAAAGAAGACATCCATATGGCCAACAGAAACATGAAAATGCTCAACATCACTCATCAATAGGGAAATGAAAATTAAAATCACAATGAGATATCATTTCACACCAGTCAGAATGGCTACAATCAAAAACAGAAACAAGTGTTGGCGAGATCATGGAAAAAAATGAACCCTTTTGCACTGTTGGTAGGAATGCAAACTGGTGCAGTCAATGTGGAAAAGACAATGGTGGTTCCTCAAAAAATTAAAAATAGAATTACCATATGATTCAGTAATTCCACTACTAGGTATTTACCCAAAGAACAGGAAAACACTAATTTGAAAAGTTATATGCGCCTCTATGTTTATTGCAGCATTATTTACAATAGCCGAATTATGGAAGCAGCCCCAGTGCCTATCAATG